TCCAGGGCCATTGCTCCCTGAAACCTCTCTGAAAGGGTCAGGTTCTGGCTCGTGGACCCTGGTAGGTCGAACTCCACAGCTAATATCCCAGACTAATATATATCACACATTAGCCTGATAGCTCCAAGGAGCTGTAGGGGCTCCCCACAGAAAAGCAGCATTATGACTATTGTTAATTTTCTTATAGATATTTTCCATTCTACATAAATACCTTCTACCATCTAGACTCAGTATTGGTTCCCAAACTGGGAGCCACGGCCCCTTGGGGGGCCTTTTTTTGCAATAGGTAAGAGGGCCATAAGTTGAGGCAGTATACAAGTTATGATACCAAAGGGGAGGGGGGGAAAAATAACCAGCTGGTGGAGTGAGCTCACAGGATGCTAATATTTTATTAATATTGAGTGTAGGAGCCATTAATAAGGATGCTATATGAAACAGGGGTAATGACCATAAAAAGTTTGGGAACCACTTCATTAACCAGGCTGTGATTCATATGTCAAGTTATGAGAAGCCATGCCCAACAGCCTTGTTGACCAGTTCAGCAACGAGGCTTGCTCGAGGACCAGGCTGTGGGGACGTTGAGCCCCAAAATTACTGTATTGTAAGGTAACCGCAAGGTTACCTTGCCTTGCCTTTCTAGGTGAAGAAATACAAAATCACTTAATCTTTCCACTGTATTTCTTTGATGTTTCATCAACAATGTGGCATCTTCAGGAATATATGCTTTGATACTAAGAACCTAGGTATACTAATTTTACATGAAAAAACATAGACAATTACAAGCATGGGTACACCTCTCCCTACGATTAACAAGTCTTTAATCAATGGGACCAACAGAAGATCAGGCAAGGTGATTGCTACCTAACTCCAGTTATTGTCTACCAGGTCTGTTGTCTACCTTCTGGATCAATGGAGGGTCATCAAACAACTGTTTGCTCAAAGTCGAAGTCACTTTAATGTTAATTACTGGTGTCAGCATTCGAATGAACGTGGCCTAAAGTGTACAGCGCCTTCTTCAATCATCATTGCATCTGATTATTGTGGTGTCCCTCACTATGTCCTGGTGATTCAGGATGGTGTTGAGTCGAGAATGATGTTGCTTAATTTCACCTTGCAAATAAAGTGTAGGACATCTACTCGGAGTATTTATTCACGGCGTTTCCAATACAGCATACTTTTCAGAATGCACAGTATCCAGAAGTGCACTTGCATTTATATACAGTACTACTACATTAGTACACTTCAGTTTGTCAGTCAGAAATATTATTTCTCATGATGAGGGAAGGTGTACAAGGGTTGTTATAATAAATGATAGGACAAATCCTTGCATTTTCACTGCATGGTTTAAAATTCCTGTCAATTATATAATGTATAACCTTTTCATCCTTCATATAGTTGAGTGAGTAAATGTATTTTCAGGATACACTTCAATGTCTTTCCTTTTGGGCTGATTATCCTCTCCCTGGGGGGCCAATTATTCCTAGTCAAATTGCAACTTAGTTTCATATTAATGATTTTGTCTTTCTGTACTGCTGTAATCGTTATTCACGATAATTTGGTGGATTCCTTCGAGTTCATGGTGCAAGAACTACCAAGAAGAGCATGTATGTATTGCACGACCTAAGGATGTAGGTCGTGCATGCAGCCCGAGTACTGAAGAATCACTCCTGGCTCGCACACCCTCTATAAGACAGCCACCACGCCACAAGGCACGGAGCTGAGACCAAGACCGGAGCCAGAGCTCATGACTTCTGCCTAGCGCATCAGCCTCAGAACTGAGGTCTTGGGTTGCCGGCGTGAGGGGGTTATCTTGTGATGATTTCGGGGCTTAGCGTCCCTGCGGCCGAGTCCTCGACCAGGCCTCCTTTTTGTTACACCCCCCCCAGGAAACAGTCCATAGCAGCTGTCTAACTCCCAGGTACCTATTTACTGCTAGATAACAGGGGCATCAGGGTGAAAGAAACATTTTGCCCATTTGTCTCCGCCTCCACCGGGGATCGAACCCGGAACCTCGGGATTACGAAGGGGTCTGGGGCTCCCCCTTCCCCTTCTCGGGGAGGGGGGAGCTGCGCAGACGGCGGTGCAGTGACGTGATGACGTCATGCTCGTTAGCTCGTTTTTGTTTTGGGAGTTCTGTCCACTAGTTCATCTCTCAGTAGCAATTTCTTAACCGTAATAGAGGTTTGTTTTGGGATGCTTACCTTTCTGGGTGCCTAACTCGATCAAAAGAAGACATAGAATGCTTCCAGCCACATGGGGGTTTCTATAGGCCATTGCTCCTTGTGCCTCTCTGAGGGGGGACCCAGGTTCTGGCTCATCGTCCCCGGTAGGCCTAAGAATTCCATACACATGACTGATGCCAAAGTCTGACATTAGCAGTATCAGCCTGGATAGCTCCGGTGAGCCAAAGGTGCTCCCTCCAGAAAATACAGATTGAGTGATTTAGTGTTTCTTCATCCTTTATATGGTAGACGGTATTTACATTGAATGGAAAATATCCATAACAAAATGAACAATAGTCACAATGCCGTTGTGTTTAATTACATGTGTATTAGAGAAAACCTGCTCCTCCAAATAAATATAAATATAAATATAAATATATATATATATACTGTATATATATATATATATATATATATATATATATATATATATATATATATATATATATATATATATATATATATATTATGCAGTATTTATTAATTCAAATTATTAAGAATTTAAGAATTAACAAGGCTAAATAAACTACTCCGACTACTTCAGATCAAGGGCACAATGCTGAAGATGTTTGAAGAATAATTTCCGGTATTGTTGGCAATGCACCAGCTGATCAGAGCAATCTAAGGTGGTTAGTGATTAACCTGATTCTGCATCAAATGATGCCTCTTGACAGCCATGATCAGCTGATGGACCGCTCTACTGGCCAATATAAATCTCAAACATGTCCAGGTCTTAGGAAACACAGACAGCACAAAGCACTGACCTTGGTGGCTCACCCACTCATGTTCTCCCTAAAACTAAAAAGACTTCTTTTCTAACTGAACTTTCTCCTTTCATGAAATAGAATGTAGAAATGATGATTTCTATCACCCCAGCTTCCATTAGAAGGCGGTGGCGAAGGAATAACGAATGTATATATACGTGTATGCTGTATGTGGATCTGCTTGAGTGAGTGTGTGTGTGTGTGTGTGTATATGAGTGCATTTATACAAGTGTGTATATATGTGTGTGTGTGTGTGTTGCATATAGGGCTGTGTGGTATGTATGGAGATGATGCGGTGTGCCTACCTGTTGTACTGTGAGGATCTAGTGGCATGAATGCATCTGATGTGTGGTGTGATGCATCCCTGAAGTGTTGTGTCTCTTCTTGAAGTACGTGTCCTTAAAGTGGGACATGAGTCCCTGATGCGTTACATGTGTCCCCTGATGTGTTACCTGTGTCCCTGATGTGTTATATGTGTCCCTGATGTGTTATGTGTCCCTGATGTGCTACATGTGTCCCCAATGTGTTACCTGTGTCCCTGAAGTTTTACCTATGTCCCTGAGGTTGACGATGACCTGGTGGGTTATGTGAGGACCTAGTGGGTGAGTTGTGGACCTGGTGGATGGGTTATGTGAGGCCCTGGTGGGTGAGTTGTGGACCTGGTGGGGTGGGTAATGTGAGGACCTGGTGGGTGGGTTATGTGAAGACCTGGTGGGATATGTGAGGACCTGGTGGGTGAGTTGTGGACCTGGTGGGTGAGTTGTGGACCTGGTGGGTGAGTTGTGGACCTGGTGGGTTATGTGAGGACCTGGTGGGTGGGTTGTGGACCTGGTGGATGGGTGGGTTATGTGAGGACCTGGTGTGTGAGTTGTGGACCTGGTGGGTTATGTGAGCACCTGGTGGGTGGGTTGTGGACCTGGTGGGTGAGTTGTGGACCTGGTGGGTTATGTGAGGACCTGGTGGGTGAGTTGTGGACCTGGTGGGTTATGTGAGGACCTGGTGGGTGGGTTGTGGACCTGGTGAGTTATGTGAGGACCTGGTGGGTGGGTTGTGGACCTGGTGGGTTATGTGAGGACCTGTTGGGTGGTTGTGGACCTGGTGGGTTATGTGAGGACCTGGTGGGTGAGTTGTGGACCTGGTGGGTTATGTGAGGACCTGTTGGGTGAGTTGTGGACCTGGTGGGTTATGTGAGGACCTGGTGGGTGAGTTGTGGACCTGGTGGGTGGGTTATGTGAGGCCCTGGTGGATGAGTTGTGGACCTGGTGGGTTAGATGAGTACACAGAGGTGACAGTTATCAGATGTGGAGTCGTGACAGTTGTCAGGCGTGGAAACAAAAGTAACAGTTGCTGGGTGTGGCAATGCAGGTGAGAGTTGCCAAGTGTGGAGATGGTAGTGATAGTTTCTGGATGTGGAGATGAAAGTGAGAGTTGTCAAGTATGAAAAAAAATGACAAATGCCAGGTGTGGAGAGAGAAGTAACAGTTGCAATCATGGAAATGAAAGTGCCAATGTGGAAAGGAAAATGATAGCTGACGGAGGCAGAGACGAAAGTGACAGTTGCCGGGTGTGGTGATGGATTTGACATTTGCCTGGGTGATGAGATGCAGATGACAGTTACCAGGAGAGATGGATTTAATATTTGCCAGATTTAGAGATGCTTGTGACAGTTGTCTGGTGTGAAGATGGAGGTGACAGTTGCTGGGTGTAGATGGAAGTACTGTAGCAGTTTCCATGTGTGGAACTCAAAGTGAAAGTTGACAGGTGTGGAAACTGACGTTACAGTTTCTGGGTGTGGAGGTGGAAGTGACAGTTTCTGGGTGTGGAGGTGGAAGTGACAGTTTCTGGGTGTGGAGGTGGAAGTGACAGTTGCCGGGGCTGTAAACAGAACTGACAGATGTCAGGCATGATAGTGTTGGTTGCTGGGTGTGGAGACAGAAGTGACAGTTTCCGGGTGTGGTAGTCACAGTTGCTGGGTGTGGAGACGGAAGTGACAGTTGCCGGGCGTGGGTTGCAGGAGAAGCCGCGACCGTTCACCCGGCTGCTGGAGTCCGTGGAGCGAGCTCGGGCAGCGAGGGAAGGCTCAGCCGCTGACAAGCCCAACAAGATCTCCAACAGAGGTACGCCCACACAGAACTACGCCCACACGCCCACATAGCAGTTGCTCCGGGGTGGGGAGGGTAGGGGCAGCGGGGTAGCATGACCAGTAGATGGTTCGGGGAAGGACTTATATTCTTACAGTCGCACGGAACCCATCAAGACAGAGCCTCAACACCCATGACTCATGCATGTTGTTATTTTCTTTCTTACACCGTTTCTGTGTGGTTTGTTTCTTTAAATAATATCTTTATTTAGTCTAGAACTAAAACACCACAATACTGTTTATATTAAGTATAATGTGAGAGTATAGAGGTGGTTGTGGCGGGCAGCGTGAGTGCGGGTTGGTATTTTACAGGTCGCAGCGGTAGCAAATCATCGCTAGGTGGAGACTCGCTTGACTCAAAGCGATCACATGGCTCTCCAGAACGGCGGAAGTCAATCTTGAAGCACCGAGACCCGGAGACGGAGCAGCTGCTGCCGGACCTCACATATAGCCCCCCACTGGGTGAGCACGAGAAGATTGGGAGACCCACTCTCAAAGGCATCGGGCCAAGGGCGGGCGGGAAGCCTCACGCCCTCCCCGTCAAGTTCGTGGGCGTGGACGAGGAGGAGGACAGTAACCGCCCACGCCGTATCTTGCCCCGCTCTCCCATGCCACGGAGACATCCGCAGCGAGCGCCGCTTGCGGACTTGTTTGCAGATTTTGCGGGCCAGGAAAAGGCTGCACGGGATGAAGCAACCCCGGAAAATATCTTAAAAGATTCACTTGAGCCCAGTTTTATCTCAATGGCAACCAGCCTTGACCAGCGTAACGCCAACACAGTGCTGCGCTGCTCCAAGGCTCCTTGCTTGTATAACCAGCCTGCCTCCACCTCGCCCATGGCCATGTCCCCTGACGAGGTGGGCGAGCCGCTGCTCTGCCTATGTGGTGCGCCCATGACCCGGGTAGCCGCACATGCGCCGACCATCATCACGCCCACCAGTGCCAACCCAGTCATGGAGAATTGCCTACTCACCGATGACCTCAACAACGGCCCCACCACACTGCGAGATATCGACGACCTGCTGTTTGCTGACCACACGCCCACTGAGGAGACCCATCTTCTTGACCACTCCCTCTCTCTCACGCACAACTCTGGCCTTAACAGCTAACCCGTAAGTACATCATATATCTTGCTTATCAAGGATGAACCTTACTGCCTGGCTTCTTTGAACTTTATTCTCTGGCCTGCCTAATTTTCAACAGCCTTCTAAAGCTTTCCTACATCATTAAATTGTACTGTTCACAAGTCTTACTGTATTGTTATCTTATCTGTAGGCTTAACTTTCAATGGCATTACATCAGCATTTGGACCTAACAACCCACCTACCCATAACAAGGCCATGAAATTCCTCAAGCTTTTGTATGTCTTAATGTCATTAAACTGAATATATACTACAGAAGGTCTTAAATTGTAGATATGCTACAGGTCCTAAGCTGTACGTATACTACAGGTCCTAAGCTTTAGATATGCCACAGGTTTAAAGCTGTACATATGCTACAGGTTTAAAGCTGTACATATGCTACAGGTCCAAAGTTGTACATACACTACAGGTCCAAAGCTGTACATATGGTACAGGTCCAAAGCTGTACATATGCTACAGGTCCAAAGCTGTACATATGCTACAGGTCCAAAGCTGTACATATGCTACAGGTCCAAAGCTGTACATATGCTACAGGTCCAAAGCTGTACATATGCTACAGGTCCAAAGCTGCACATATGCTACAGGTCCAAAGCTGTACATATGCTACAGGTCCAAAGCTGCACATATGCTACAGGTCCAAAGCTGTACATATGCTACAGGTCCAAAGCTGTACATATGCTACAGGTCCAAAGCTGTACATATGCTACAGAAGGTCCTAAGCTGTACACACATTTAAACAAGACCCTAAACTGTACAAGTGCTACAAAATGTCTTAAAGCACATACATACATACATACATACATACATACATACATACATACATACATACATACATACATACATACATACATACATACATATATATATATATTTATTTATTTATTTTGCAACAGCAAGCCCCAAACTTGCTGTTGCAATATAGAACATTCCATATTTTATGGAATGTCCTAAAATGTACATATGCTACAGCAGTTATTGCCTTGTATTGAAGCAGGCCAAAAATGTTATGTATACAGTACTGTGTTGTGAAATGCCCTAACTACACATATGCTATGAAATCCCCCAACCCCTACATATGCTATGTTATATCCAAAACTGTACATATGCTATGGAAGGCCCAAAATCATGCACATGTTATAGAATGTTCTAAATTGTATATATGCAATAGAATGATCTAAGCTGCACATATGCCACACAATGCCCCAAACCTGGGAAATTGCAGAACAACTACTGTACAGAAATAATTGTATTCTTTTTAAGATAATTCATGACTTTAAATAATTAACCCAAAATTTTCACTTTTCAAAATAAAGAAATGTTTTGTGAAATGTAGTGCAGTGGTCAGTGCAGTAGGCTCACAACTGAATGAAGCCGGGTGTGATTTCTGGGGAGGATGAGATGTGTAGGTACATTTCCTGACACCTGATGCCTCTGTTCACCTAGCTGTAAATAGTTTCGTTGGAGTTAATCGGCTGTTTTGGGCTGCACCCTGGAAAAGGTTGGCCATTGACCTAGAGACCTCAATGAACCCAACAGCCTTCCTCTCCTTGACAATGGGAACCCATATCATAGTAGTGAGGCAGCTCCTTTAGACCCATATGCATGAGACAGTTCCTATTGGTCCATATAAGGCAGCTCTTATTTCTACCCAAGCAAATTCATTCATATATCAACTAAACACACTCATGGACAACATTTAGGAATCATCATGTAGCTCTCACTCCCCCATAGTCACTTATAGGTAAGCACTGTAATTCTTTTTAATCAGATACTTCCATAGATAATATGAATGTGAATTCAAATATTTTGTTCATAACAATTAAAAAAGTTCATGCAGGATCTGGTGTCGGAACAGCAGTAAATGGGCAAACCCCATCACAATATATGTAAGCATTAACCCCAATATAATCTACAGCACACACATTGTAAATCTAAAGAAAATGTTGGTTATAAACAGCAATAGTGTACTTGAATATTAATAGTTACATTTTTAAATAAATAAGGAAGAGGGATCTGTAGCCTTATACAGGGAATCCACAACTTATGAAAAGGATAAGTTCCGAAAAGATGTTCGTATGTCAGCTATTCTTAATCCCAAAACAGATTTCAAGTACAGTAGTTTAAAATTGGGGGATATATTCTCAAACCACCAAAAATTAACGTACACAATAAAAATTTTAGGGGAAGATAAGATAGCAAACAATTTTTATTTACCTAGAATAATAGAGTTGCCCAGCTTGTCTGACTATGCTGTTTGAAGAGTGAAGGGGTCTAATTGGTAGAGGAAGAAGCAGCAGATGGTGGTGATGCATGTGGTGAGAGACTGATGGGTCATCTTCAATGTCACTGGTTACTGTAGATGTCAAAAATATGTCATTTTCCATAATACGTACATTGACACCTCAACAATTCTTATGAGCATAATTAAATATACTGTTCATTCCTTCTCCCCCCCCCATGCTCTAAGGGCACAGTTTATTGAGCAAAATCTTGTGGGCCTTCGATAAGTAAAGAAAACTGAACCCATCCTCCTATAATGATAGTACTTACATCAACTATTTGCTTGAATGTACAAAAATGGACAGCCAGCAAAATTCATATGTTGTACTACAGTATTAACTTTTGTAGACGGCATAGAAAAAATGTCTAGGCCTGGTATAGCACACACACATTATTAGTACTACATTAGGCCTAAGGGTAATTAAGATAATTGTCAGGAGATAGTGCTAAGTCAGTATGACTATATAGCACTTGGAAGAGATATGAGGATAAGGATTTAGGATAGGACAGTGGAAAGGAATGGTGCCCAACCCCTTGGATGGTTGGAGATTGAACACCAACCTGCAATAAGCAAAACAATTGCTCTACCGTTCAATCCAAGTGATTGGACAGGATATGTTACGTCTATGTTAGCATATACTTTCCAATTTTTTTAGCATGCTAGTTGGGCTAATCCACTAATACAAAAATGTGAACTTTTGAGGTCTAACATTCCATTTTCATACACTTGGCTTAATAGTTGCTATAAATATTATCATTGTTGGAGATTGGGCTGAGAAAATCATAGCTGCATTTGTGCAGGATGTGCAAACCAATGAGAGAACCACCTCCTCTATTGTTATCAGCCACTTTCAGAGTGTGGGAGCCTGCTCCTGCCTCACTAAAGTCTGTCAGAGGGTCATTCTGTCCATAGACCACAATCGGCTCCAACGAACAGAGCAGGAAGGAGAGAGAGACCCATTTAAGTTCAGCCTGTCACATAATGGGTACATACTAGCAGAACCTGACTGGAGAGAGATTTCACCATCTTCCACAACCCAGCATATGACCATGTGCGATGTAAGTTGGTGTTCTCCCGTCTCAGAGCAGTTGATAATTGCTAGTTTCAATTATAGTGAAATGGGTCGTCTCTCTCTCTTGACTCTGGTCTATCTCCAACACTCTTTCTCCTCCTATCACCTATTATTAATTGCATTTTCCTTGATAAAATCCAAGAAACTTGACTCATTAATAATTAATTCATAATCAAAATTACAATCAAGTTCAATATCTAGCCTGATAGACCTATGGAATGAGATTTAGACAATGTTTACTTGTCTATTCAAATTATTAATCATCTTGTACACCAATACAAATGTTGTATCAAGACTGTCATCAATTCTAATGCAAGAATTTGCAGACACGTTTTTGTATAGAAGTACATTCAGAATAATTATACAGTATATTGCCACACTGAGGACCATTAGTTGCATCTTTAATTGTGTGGCAGGAGTGTGCCATGTACAGGAAAGGAACCAGATTACCTTGTACATTAGACAATGCACCACTGGATACCAAAACCTAACTTAAACCACCATAATCAAACTCGACCTAAGTCACCACAACCAAACCTAAACCACCATAAACGAACATGACATAAGCCACCATAACCAAACCTAACCTAAGCCACCAAAAGCAAACCTGGCTAAGCCACTACAACAAAACCTAAGCCACAACAAGCAAACCTGACCTAAGCCACAACAACCAAACCTGACCTAAGCCATCACAAACAAACCTGACCTAAGCCACAATAACCAAACCTGACCTAAGCCACCACAAGCAAGCCTGACCTAAGCCACCACAAGCAAGCCTGACCTAAGCCACTACAACCGAACTTGAGCTAAGCCACCACAAGCAAACCTGACCTAACCAACCACAACCAAACCTGACCTAAGCCACTACAACCGAACTTGAGCTAAGCCACCACAAGCAAACCTGACCTAACCAACTACAACCAAACCTGACCTAAGCCACTACAACCGAACTTGAGCTAAGCCACCACAAGCAAACCTGACCTAACCAACTACAACCAAACCTGACCTAAGCCACTACAACCGAACTTGAGCTAAGCCACCACAAGCAAACGTGACCTAAGCCACTACAACCGAACCTGAGCTATGCCACCACAAGTAAACCATTCTGATATAAATTATATTGTAGAGTATACTGTATAATTTCCACCTACAGGTATTTACATTAATTTAATACATGTTTCTTCAAGTTTACAATAAATAAAACCAGCATTGAATGTATTGAAATGCCTATTTCTGTGTGAGCCTCAATGGCTCACTGAAGCTACTATGCTGATATAGGGCAAACTACTAGGTGCAGTCAGTCACGGTGTTCGTTTCGGCCTACTGGAGACCATGAGCCAGAACCTGGCCTCCTCACAGAAACACAGAGAGTGGTGGCCATACGATAAAATTTCTGTGAATTTTTAATCATATCCACCACCACCACCAGGGAAACACCCAGACAGTCAATGAGATAAAACAGGCCACTGATGATTAGAAATGATACTGCAGCCTTAAAACCACCAAAGAATCCCAATAATGTAAAAAATAAAAAATGAATAAAACTAGCATCTGCTCATTTGCCCCTACCTCCAACCCTTCCTTTGGGAGAGAGGCAGAAAAGCAGCTGAACCTCAA